TTATTACCAAAAGGGAAGAATACAGGTCGAGCAAATGTGTTGAGGCAAAATTTTGTTTCAATGCTGTCTCTTATACACATCTATATTTTAATTTCATTTAAAATTTGGTTCAATTTAATAAGTAAAAGTATACACTTTTTTATACTTTAATTAATTTAATTTAAAGTATTAAAAAAATTTATAAATTAAAGAAATGTTTACGAAGATAATTGTTTTTTAATTTTTCAATTTACGTTAAATTATCCTTTTATTTTAATTGTTGTCTTAATTTTTAAATCAAATCACTATTTTAATATTTTTCAATTTATTTGTGTTTAATTTAAAAATTTTGAATTAAAATTAAACAAAAAATGTTAATATAAAATTGAAAAAAAAAATTTGTTTGATTTATTAGTATTTTTATTTTATGATTTACTATTAAAACCAAATTACCGCTAAAAATATTGAATTTTAGTTAATTTTCTTTTTACATGTATTTTTATAATAGTTTTTCTTTTTATTTAAGGTTTTATATTTTTTATTTGTTCTTTTGTTATTACTATTTTTTTTACTGTTGTCAAAAGTATTATGTTTTTTTCTTGAATTTTTTATATTATCTCGCAATTGTTTATGTTTTACGCAACCCATAAAGCATAACTCAGCTAAACAAACCAGTTGCTGTTGTATCTTCTTAAACGAAACAAAAATAAAAAATCTTCCTAGTTGACATTTACAACAACTTATCGCCGGCAATAAATCCTACAAATATGTTAATTAATATTGCAAAATGCCTGCGAGGCAGCAATATTAACATATTACGATACTAAACTAGTAGTTGCAACCTAAACGGTAGGCAGACAGCACACACAACAACAACAGCAACTACAAAATGCTGTAAACAAGTGTCATTCAAAGGCCTAAAACAACGTGTGGCGCATGCGCTGCAACAATAACAAAAACGAGGACGAAGTCAGCACTCACTTAGCAGCAGTAGTTGCACGCGGCTCAGCTGTCAGTGAAAAATGCAGAAATTCCACACACGCACACATATGAACATTTGTAGTTGTGTGCAGCCATGCTGGATTGTTTAGTGTCTGCAAATTATAAGTTGCGTCTAATGCGGTAACTCATTATGACCAGCAATATTTTCATGTATATAATTCATATACATATATATAATATGTGTGCTTATACATATGTAAATGGTTTGGCATAAAACATTTTGGTAATTTGGTTTGCGGTACGCTTGCGCGCCAAACGCTCGACGTGTCTGCGATGGCGTGCCAAAAAGTGGCTATAAAACACGTTGATGACGTACCTGCATGCCTGTACAGGTGTGCATGCGTATGTGTGTGTGTGCGTGTAAGCGCGCGTTGACACAAGCCCGTAGGCGTAAGCCACCAAGCTTATAATAACCATGTCTTTGTCATTAAAATGGAATGAAAGGTCGTTATTGTTTTGAAGTTACCCTTCAATGTTTGTTTTTTTCTTGGGTTTTCATTTCTTTTGATTTCAATTTTTATTTTTATTATTCCTTGTTTTTTAAAAAAGACACAGGTTAAATGTTGACCTATATTTGCATATGTTTTGCGGCAATGACGACATAATAAAGAGAGTTGTGTTGGCATGTGTATGTTTGTTGTTTTTTTGAGAAACTTCTTTTGGAAGTAAAAATTTTTAAA